TCCTTCCCCATCCCACTGACACCTTTTTGAAGTATTCCTTTCCAGAAGTTTCTTTTCCCCCTGAAGCAATATCATTTATATTCCCACTTAAGCATTTTGATATCCTGTTTTAATATCCTAAAAGTAAAGCTTCAAGCAAAATGAATGGCTGTAGTTTGTTTCATGGTAGGTCTCGCTACTTGTGGGTAGAAGGCCTGAAGCCTTCTTAATCTCATTTGATCTTCATTTTTGCACTGACAGTAAAGCACACAATGGCCACACTTCCCTTGAATGCATTTCCTTGTATCCTTTACTTATATCAGGATCATGAAAATCCTGTTGCTCCTTAACTTTGTCAGTTTAAATAGAACGCCTCACAAAGCACATTGAGTAAGCATCAAAAAGCATGACATGCAGTGTGTGTGTGAAGGCACCAATCATCTGTTTCACCCACTCTGTCATTTCAGCACTTTCTGCTAAGAACTCCGCATACTGAAAGAGGTGGACAACTAAAAGAGACAGATGAAATGCTTAATTTGTTTAGTTGCTAAATGCAGCTGGGACAGGTAATTAAACAGTCCTGCTCCCGCAGAGAAGCCTGCAGCAATGTAACATGAAATCTTAGAAACCCAGCTGTACTCAGATTTAGATTCAGAACTAATATTAGATAGGCATCCTTCCGATTGACAGATTTCGTAAACATCATTTCTGGTTTATTTGTTCAGCCTAATTGAAGATAAAGCATGTTTCGTTCACCATTTAAGTTTTCTAGGGAGCATGTGGTGTTTACAGATACCTGGGGGAATAGCCTAGAAGGCACAGCCCGTGTCTGGAGGGCACGGGATGACATGAGTGAGCCTCTGCGAATCCTGACTCCAACCGTTCCATGGAGGTGGGAATGGGGGTCATCATATGAACAGATGCAGACTGGGAGAGGATTGGAACCAGTTCTTGCCTTAACCCTTTTATCTTGTATGAGGGCATATTATTATGTAAGTAGCAAAGATCTCTGTGTGTACAGTGGGATCTTTGTTTTAATTTGGGCACTTATTTCTATGCAGAAGTTGTTACCACCATTTACTCATTTGCTCAAACCAGAAATTTAGCAATTATCCTTTTTGCTCACCTCCCACAGCCATCCCCCAGTAGGCTTTTTTGTAGGGCTGACTCACCGTTATCCCTCAAGTCTCACCTTAAGTGTCCCCTTCAATGTGGAGCCTGCTTTGACCAACTTTCCAAAATGGCCTCCACTAGTGGGGCTCTGATGTCATAACCCCGATTCCTTCCTTGTAGCACTTAACACAATTAGTAACTGCTTGTTTTCCACACAGTGGTTACACATTCCTTGGATGCATTTCCTTATATTCTTTGCTTGTCTTACCAGAACTGTGATAATCCTGCTTCTTGTTGATTGGTTGTTTATTTATGTATTTGCTTTGTCTACTTACCTTTTTACCTATTTATTATCTGTCTGCCATGCTAGATGTTAGTTCTAGGAGGGTAAAGACTTCATCCTGTATTTCCAGCTCATAACCCAATGCCTTGCACATAGTTTATACCCTGTACATATATGCTGGATATCATGTCCAAACTATATCATAGATCAGTGGTATGCTGGTAAGTTTCTAGGTGGGGATGGGGGGCGGTGGAAAAGCAGCTCCAATTTGTAGCATGTACCAATATCTGTGGTGTAAATACTCCCACCATGGCAGATATGAAGCTACCAAAATGGTGTTACTGATCAGTGAGTCGAGAGGCAATGCACAGTAGCGCTTCTTTGCTGCAGGCTTCTCTGCAGGAGCAGGGCTGTTTAATTACTTGTCCCACCTGCATTTAGCAGCTAACCAAATCAGGCATTTCATGTGTCTCTTTCAGTTGTCCACCCCTCAGTATTCTTTGAGTTCTGATAGAGAGTGTTCCTCTCTGTACAGATATAGTAGATATAAATCACTTCATGAACACAGATATTAGTAAAAGAGTGAAAAATAATTAGGAAGTGATGGATTTTGAGTACTTGTTACATTTATTTTTTTATGTTACTTATTTAATTAATTTATTTATTTTTTGAAATGGAGTCTCTCTCTGTTGCTCAGGCTGGAGTGCAGTGGCGCGATATTGGCTCACTGCAACCTCCGCCCCCCAGGCTCGAGGGATTCTCCTGCCTCAGCCTCCCAAGTAGCTGGGATTACAGGCGTGCCCCACCATGCTCAGGCAATTTTTGTATTTTTAGTAGAGACAGGGTTTCACCATGTTGGGCTAGGCTGGTCTTGAACTCCTGACCTCAAGCAATCAACCCGCATCGGCCTCCCAAAGTGCTGGGATTACAGGCGTGAGCCACCACGCCTGGCCTATTTATTTATTAGAGATGGAGTTTCAGTCTTGTTGTGCAGGCTAGAGTGTAATGGCTCAGTCTCAGCTCACTGCAACCTCTGCCCCCCGGCCTCAAGTGATTCTCCTGCCTCAGCCTCCCGAATAGCTGAGATTACACCCACTCAGCTAATTTTTGTACTTTTAGTAGAGATGGGGTTTCTCCATGTTGGTCAGGCTGGTCTCGAACTCCCGACCTCAGGTGATCTGCCCGCCTTGGCCTCCCAAAGTGTTAGGATTAAAGGTGTGAGCTACCATGCCTTGCCTACATTTATTTTTATTAATTGTAACTTTATGTGGTTTAATTTTAAATAATAGCTGTGTTTAACAACTAGCTTGCAAAATCACTGAAAATTTAACAGTCTACTCTCAAGCCAGTATAAGCCCCAGCACCGCACTGGG